ACCCGCACAAACCGCAAAATATTACCGACCGGAAAAACACACCGGAGGAAAAACGAGTGCCGCACGCACATTTAGCACAAAAGATGCGAAAACCGGAAAAACATACCGGCGCATTACTTTTGTTTTATTTGAGATAATATTGTTTTTGCTTTGCCTCGGCTGAGATTATTTTAGGTGATGGATGGCAAAAAAGGCTTAAAAGGAGCAAAACATTGATTTGATTTATTTCTACTTTTTTTGATGATGGAATGTCGTCCGTCTTTCAATTCCATTATAATATTCAAGCTTCATCAACTTTTGTCCCTTCCGATGCAGAATTCAAATTTTGCATGATTGACTGACCAGTCTAACAATGCAAGAAAATAATTTCCGGTATAATAGACCGTGCGTAGATATTAGTATAGGTAATATGTCCTGTGGAAATTTATTGCTCCGCGTCAGCATCCACCTCACCTGCAGCTAGTTTTCCCAACACGGTTTCCTCCCGCCTTTCGCATTCCTGCTTTACTCGGTGGCTTTTACCGGTCGCAGAAAGAAGCTCCTGCTTTGCTTGCGCGGGTTCCGCTCGCCGTCTTCCTTACCGATCTTCCGATCTATAATGATTTCCTTATTCAAATACGAACGGAAAGGGTGTGAGAACGGCAGCCTACCCACGCGGCTCGTCGGAAGTATCACGGATGAAATAAGAAAACGAAAATTGGATCAGAAATTCATTTTCGCAATTTCATACGGGGGTTTATATATGTATTTCATTTTTACGCCTGTATCCGGCTGAACAAAAAGCATGTGGCAAGTTGAATACAAAAAAGTATCCTTCTTGTCAATAGGAAGCTTTAGTATTCAAAGGAGGGTATCAAATTGTCTTCAGATATTGAATTTATTTCGTTGTGCTGCATTCGAAAGTTTATAAAGTTAAACTACAGCAGACGCAACTTACAAAATGAAAAAAATAAAGGTAATCCTTTCACAGAATTGAAATGGCGGCTTTTTTCTATTCTATCTATCTATAAATAAACGTTTTTTACGTTTTTAGATTATGCTGTTAGTCCTGATTGCTAGAATTGCCCCTGAAGATTTGACCTGTAGCAATGAGTTCCTGCGCCGGATGAGGTTAAAGTTTATCATTCCCCTGCTCTCGATTACATGCCTTCACCTCCTACGCATCCCTGGATTCATCCGAGTCATCTGACTCATCGGGAGTAATTTTTTGTGTTCACGGCCAATATCCATGACAAAAACAGACCACAATCATTCGTAGGATAAAAAGATGTGTTTAGTTTGGAATTCCGAGATACAAAATTGCGAGTTTTTCGACTAGCAGACGATAATGAAGACTAGTCTTCATCCAGACTAGGTTATGATCAATCGACCTCGAAAATAAATGCTAATGTTTTTTGCCCACACAAAAGTACAACTTCTCCGAAAGTTATAATTTAACGTTAACTCCTAACGTTTGCTTCGAGAAGTTTTACTTTTTATTAGTTTTATTGCTTTTACAAGTTGTGATTATTTATTAGGTTATTTCGCACGCTTGTAAAGAATATCAATTTTTCTATTCAGTATTTCAAATAAAAGCAAAAAAATGACATTTACTGCGTTTACTGCAGAGAATGCAAGTTATTTTAATTAAAAATGCTGTTGTAACACTATTTTGCCTTGTTGGAATATTTTTTATTAAAAATATTTGTTACGCTGCAGGTAATGTAAATGAAATTCAATTTTCATTTTGAATAACAAAGAACACCCGCGAGTTAACTAATGAACCAAGCTCAAATTTCATTATCTTTTCTTTGTTTCAGTTCCAGCGAATGATATGTTTTCTGTTTTCGCCCCGTGTTCTACCATTTCTCCGCTCTAGTTTTCTGGTCGGTATTATTTATTCCTGTTTTTACCTGCGTTCATTTTTACAAATACATTTTCTTTCGCTCCGTTCGAGCTGCGTCGATTTTATTCCAAGCGAATTCAATCAATTTTATTTTTTACATCTTTTTTCTTTTTAATTGTTCGCCCTTTTTCGTCTTCCTAAGTCGAGGGTTTAATTATTTTTAAAGGTAAGAACAGGGTGAGAAAGTGCGGGAAATTCGAGCTATGCAGGGGTGAAAAATTCGAGTGAAAAGAGGGTAGGCGGCGCGGCGCCGAGCCAAAAACCGATTCGGTTTTTTTTTCCCGTTTTGTTGGCGCTGTTAATACAAATGTCGGTCTGTTTAACGCAGGCGGTCGCTCATTTATTACTTTGTTTTCGACCCGGCGTTTGTTTTGCTTTTTCTGTGCATTGTGTTTATCGAATGGCGAAAAACAACAACAAAAACTGCAACGATTGAAATACGAAATAAAAATATGCGATGCTTACCATTAGTATTGTGCGCCGAAGTAAACGGTATATTAAGTGTAAAAAGCGAGACTTTAAGGCACTTGTAATAATATTCTCTGTGGGTATTTAAATGAATACATTGAAATAAATTTTGGCAAAATTAGAACAATGATGAATATTATTCGTGAAATTACATCTCTACAACAGTTTGCAGGTGAGTTTGACCAGCTCCTGCGGTGACGGCGGCGGCGGCAGCATAGATCCCCGTGGCCGGGGGGTTACAATTTCGGCAAACTTTCCCGCACCGCACCGATGAATGCCCAAAACCCGACCGCAGTCTCCGCCGGCTGACGCACCGTCGGCGCGTGGAAAACTTGTGTATTCCCGGTGCCGTTTAGCTACGGTAGCACCGAGTAAAATTCTACTTTACCTCAACTACCTCCACTGCTTCTCCATCCGAGTACGTGCCTCGCAAGCAATTCGAAGGGTTGCAATGCACATTAGAAGTAGTAGTGATCGTCGGCAAGGTGAAATAGGAGCTCCAATTGGATAGAATTAGATAGGCTAGCGCCGGGGCAAATAGAAAATGAAGATGAAATTTGAGCCGGCCGGGAGTGTGGCGAATCAATTTAAAAGACCGATCATCATCGTAAAATCCAAGACCAAAACGCTCGGCGAGCCGGCACGGCGGCCATTAAAGTTTAGAGAGATGGGATGATATCCAAGAAGATCGTATCATAAGAACGTATTGAGATCGTATCATCAAAGTGATACTTAGAAGGCTCCTTAGAAAGGGCTTTAAAATAAAATTTATAAGATTTAAGTAGTTTCGGTGAAATAAATGCACTTGAAAAGTAAATTTATACCAACTTATTATGCTGATTTATTCATGATTGGTAATTTATTTATTTACGAAAACAATTTCATTCGGAAGGACAATGAAAAGCATTCAAAATAAAATTTAAAAATTAAAAAACAAAAATATATACAAAAAATAAATTATTTTAAAGAAAACTAGCATTTGCCGGTGACTTCGTCCTGGTAGTGTTTAATAAAAATGTAATTTGTTTTTACTTTCTTGTTCTAGACATAGTATGTGTCTATTCTATCAATAAGATGCGTTATTTTACTTTAAAAAAATGAATTGTACAAAGAATAATGCACTTCAGCACGCCATCTTGGATTCAACTATTTTACTATAACTATGATTGAATTTCAATGCCAACTTTTATCCTATAGAAAAGGGTTGTCTTTAAGGGTTTCTCGGCAATTATTCGAATTTCTCTCGCCGTTAAAACCATCCTTGGACTTTAACGAATATTTAAAAAAACGAATTGGCCAAATTGTTTTAGGCGTTGTTGAGTTATGCGCTTACCAACAGATTTTTCGATAAATTTTTATATTATACATAAAACATTCTTATGCACAATTAAAAAATTTGTTAAAATTTTGTTGTAAAATAAAAATTTTTTTGTAATTTTTGAATTTTTTTAATAAAAAAAAAGAAAAAAAGATTAACCTCTTTGTTCCTTTGACGTAAATAATCACCAAGCTGTAATTAATCTAAATTCACGTACACAATTAGCGTAAAGCAGCTTTGACAGCCATCGAACGAGATAAAACCTACTTTGAAAGCTGCACGGTGTGAACATTAGCAGCACGCTCATCCTTAAAATTCGTACAACCGCGTTAGTATGTAAATGTGTATAAATGCTGCGCGTGTTGTGAAGTAGACTAAATTAAAGCCGATGAATAGTTCCTTAATTCGGTGAAATATAGCAGGGCTGCATCTCGACGCAGCTGGCGAAGGATGTAAGGCCGCTGGATGTAGGTTAAGCCTGCAAGCAGGCCGGAAATGAAGTGAATTTCGCGCGCGCCGTGGAAAAACGAACAAGAGACGTAAAATCTGCGAGACGGCGAGTGTAACGCATCAGAAAACCTGCTGATGAGGGTTAGCAGTGTGCGCCCCGGCAACGTGTTACGGCGCGAAGGAGCCAGCTAAAGTCGGTGCAGGAATGCAGGAAGGATGTGCTATTGCAATGTGTACACTGCATTTAACCCGATCCTAGTTTTACATAACACTCTTCATTAGATTTAACAAGTCATATTTACTTATCTCTAAATTAATAGTTTTCTTTTACCTAACTAGTATTTTTTTTACTATTTTGCAAAGAATTATTCAGAAAATTGTTTTAAATTTAAAAAAATATAAAAAGTAAATTTTCAAGAATATCTTATACAAAAAAGTACTAAAATATTTATCTCGTTGATTGTAGATAATTTTTCATGTTTTTATCAAAGAAAAAAGTGTCTTTAACACATAATTTATTAAAATTTCTTATATTTGTGAAAAATTTTTGGAATACCAAATAAAATTGAAGGTGGATTTTCACAAAAAAATAATTTAAAAAAAGTTTTATTGTAACCAAGACAATAAACTCATGATTCCGCCCAAATAGCACTGCAGAAAAGCATATTTCGAATTCAAGTCTCGGCGTTTCTTAGATTTTTATGAATTGTGTGAAAATTAGTGCGGATTTTCTTCCCGCAGGTGCAGTTTGATCAATGCGCGGTAGTCCCGGCCGGCGGCGGTGGCGGCTGGAGGAGGTGGCCGCGTGCGTGTGTGCCGCCAGCCAGGTCGACGCAGCGCGCGCGGCGCACGGCGGCGCTCATCAGTCGCTCGCTCGTCCGCACGCCAGTCGGCAGGAGTGTCCTGCAACTGCGTTCGTCCGCTCGCGCGTTCCTTGCGTCCTCACACACATCCTGCGAACACATACAATTCGCACACGCTCCTCTCGCGCGCATCCACATCGAAATATAAAACAACTTTTGAACAGAAAAAAAAAGTTTCAAACTTTTCTTTGCAATTACAACGGCGAGAAATTAAAGTGCGCAAAGTTCATCAGAAAGAACAAACAATTCGGAATTTATGTGCTACAGTGACATTAATTTATTTCTGGGATATACTACAAATTAAATCAAATCAAATAATTTTAAGGTAAGAAATTATAAATAAAATTATTACGTTATGTTTTCCTGTTCAACAATGACGCAAACAAATCACGCCGCGCTTTAATATACAATAAGTCATTAAAACGCTATCATTAACAATAATGCTTGTGTATGTATAAGTGTATGCGTGTGCGTTTGTGCGCGAGCATTTAACAATGCGGCGGTCGTCATTCTTATTGGCGTGCATTTGCGTTCGACGAGCGTAAATCAATAAAAGAATCAACGCCAAAACCTCCGCGATTCGCCAAACCCTACAAAACAATTTAATTAAATTTTTAAATTTTTCTTTTTCAACGTTTCATATCATTGAAACAACGAGAGAAGAAATTCGAAAAGAAGTTAATTGTGGATTCACAAAACAGATTTAATGGTTTTTGCGCTTTTTCTCTGCACTTTTCCGAACGTCGATCGCTGATCGCTTTTTTTTGCTCTCGCGCCGCTAGAAAATGGAAAAGTTTGCAAATGCGATTGAAAACTGAACAAGCGCGGATTTCATTGATTAAATTTTCATCCACGCTAAAAGTTCACCGAAATATCCAAATAAAAAAAATAATATTAACTATTATTTACATTACATATATCACAGGATATTTACTACCTATAATATAACTTTATATTGCCGGAGGTGTTTAACCCAATCCCCGAATTAATCTCTGATTAAATTTGAGACAAACTTTTGAAACTTACAAATCCATCAATTACAAGCCCAAATTTGATCCCTGCACACCAGAGTTTAATTTATCAAACACAACAAGCAATTAATTTAAATGTCAAAACAAAACTTATTAATTGTTGACGTCCAAACAAGAGCCACACAAAACTTGTACGCTAATAGATTCAAACTTAATAATTAAACTAAAATCATTCAAACTCTGCGTAACACTCTAAGCTAAGCACGCCGTGAGCGTGAATTCAAGATGCGACATTCCAAAGTGAATTTTGGTGCGCTGATTAGTAATTACATTGAGTGGTCCCGATGACCGCGAGGGGATCAAATCGAGTGTTAAGCAAACAAACGTTGCATTGACCAGAATAGACTCACGATGACTACGCCGGCCAACTTGTTCGGCATTAACTGATGTACTGATGTACATCGTGCACGGGCGATTTGTGCGCTAATCTCCTGCAATCGTTGGGTGCCTTCAACACAATCACACAGACACACACACACGTCACGTGTAAATTCAACCGACTTGTTTCCTTGTATTCGTACAGGTTCTTGTCGTTACAAAGTGGCGAAGCGTTCATAATCTATTTATAAAACCGGCTGATTAATATCCGCAACGCCATGTGTGTAATGTAAGCGTGCGTGCGCGCGCGCGTTTGAAAAGTGTGAAAAAGCAAAGTAAAACAGTGCGGCTTATCGCGCTCGAGTTTTATACTTTTTTATATTCGAATTATGATAATGGCACGCGGCGATAAGCGCGCGTCGTGGTAGCGCTAAGGCGTCCGGCGAAAAAACGGAAATTGGTGTTCAATATAGACATACATACATAGAAATACATATAAATAAATATTCATATAAAGCACGGTACTAAAAATTGGTTGTAACTAGTTTATACTTAACAATTTATCATCGTGACAAATCTGTTCACAACTAAATTAACAATTCATATCATTTTTTTTCTATGTAATTTTTTTTCTGCTATTTTTAATGCAAAAAAGTAAAATTAGATAAATCCAGAATTGATTTATTTTAAAACACATTTTATGTGTTTTTAAATGTTGTAAACACAACTCTCCAAAGTGTTTATATTCCTAGAGCACTAATAGTTTACAATTGCGTTGAGATTTGTTTACATTGAAGCGGCAGTCACGGGTTTATTATTCGATTAATCGACCAAGTCTTTTATCGACGCTCGTAAATGGTTCGTTCATGTCTTTAACATTGTCAAAGGTCAGCCTCATATCATTCAATTAATTTTAAAAATATCAACGCATTAAATGTGGAAATACATCACGCTTTGAACGTGCAGATTAACAAATGTGTGTTTAAAGCCTTTCGTACAGTTTTGTCCGCGGCGCGTTAAACCATGCGGGATTACAGTCAATTTAACAACGCCTGAAATTCCAATTTATGCACAACAGCACCTGTAGGTGCTATGATATAAACTCGGCAACTGGAAAATGTCAAGCATCCAAATATTTGCGGGCGTTATTGTAGGGGTAATAGTACAAGTATAAAATACTCGTTTCAAATATGTAGATGTCTAACGCATCAAGGTGTGTTTGCGTGGCTGCTCAGTTGCGTAATCTGCTCAATCCCAGGATGCGAAGATTGAGCTCGGAATTCGAACAGGCGACGCCAAAGCCGACGCTATTTCCTGATGTGACATAAATGTCACTTATGGCACGCGTAACACGAATTACACGCGCCACGTGTCACACATGTTTCAAATTACATATAGATTTACAAAATATACTTCACGAGATGTGAGGAAAAAACCTTTTTTATGATATATCTACACCTTTAATGCCTCTAAATCTCCAAGAATTCCTCGTGTTACTTCTCGCATGATTATTTATTTACTTTTAACTATAATCGAATAATAGCACGGCGGGAGTAAAAATTTTAAGCGCAGCATAAAAATCCTCTCTATAGGCTGAGGGTTGAAAAGGCATGATTTTTTTTTTACGAGTGACTGTTACGCGCACATCGGTGAGCAAATTTGCTCGACGTTACGATGGCGGTGGCATTATCCGAAATGAATAGCGCTGAGTAAACCGTCGGCAACGTGAATACGGCAACCTGAAACACACTGACTCTCTGATACGGTGAATACACCATATATGTTTAAATAAAACTACACAGTTAAAGTTGTGCAAAAGTCAAACTTTGTTGATTATTACCGCAAGCGCGTGTCGTCGAGCTCAGCACCGCTGTAACTATCAAGAATTTTACGGGGAACTTCATGAATAGTTGGAAATGCCGCGTAGAGCAAACCTCATTTACAATCTCAACCCTTAACTGGTACATAGAGATACCTGGAAATTTTTTATTCCTTACTTGTTTACTATTAATTATAACAAATTGCGTAGACGTAATGTTATTGCGTATGCACGACTAATTTAATTAAAATTCTGTTGTGCTCTCATCCTGTCATCCTATCTCATTGTCGCACAATTAGAGATATCTTGGTGAGACGCGAAGGGCGTATGCGTTTTTGTTCGCGACGTTCAACTCCATACACGACATCCACCCACGCAGCTTTCATTCATTGCTGGAAATACTGGAAATGCGGGGAATTGTTAGCGTTGGCGGCGGCAGAAATTACAAGCGAGCAAAATGTTGGATACGTTTGCAATTCGGGAAATGTCGGAAATGCTGGCGCAGCGAATTTACGTGCGACCAAGATTTTGTAGCAAACAACTGAAGTGAACTAAACCTAAACAGTCAAAATTGAGTCGACGTGCATGCGGAGAAATGCAGCTCATCGTATATATCCACTTTAACTGTGCGCCAGAATCAGCTTCTCTATATACACACAATTCGCTCTCCTTCAGGTACCACTAATTTAATTTGATTTAATAAAAGCAATAGGAAATTAAGTTGGGTTTGTGTGCTTTCAATCACCGCAATCTGCGCACTCGCTTGTGCACTTAACAGATTAATTGGATGCATTGTGAATTTTCCATTAATTTTTTTTGCAAAAAAAAAAATAATAAACAACAGACTTAAAAGTGCTGTAATTATAATAGAAAATAATGCAATAAACTAAAGTGCATAATTTTAATTGCAATTATTAATTATTTATGCATTGATGTAAATACGTAGATGCATTTTTAAGGTCACACCTATTCATTTATAGACAGATATTAATTAAAAAAACACGATGACACATTTTTTAAGCGCACTTCGTTTTTTGTTTCAGATTTAATCAATCAGCTGATTACCGAGATGAAGAACCAATATAAAAATAGTCTGCGTGCCGCCGCCTTCGCAGCTTCCGGTGGCAAGGGATAAAATCGACCGTGTGCGTGTGGCGGGGCGAGACTTGTCCACTGGTCCCCAACACACTATACCAGCAGTTTGCGGTTTCGGTGTCCGTTAGTGCGTCCTCACCGCCATCGTCCTCAACGGCGGCGGCGGCGGCGGGTCCGGCACGCGGCGTCTGCGGCGCTTCCTGTCCGACGGATGGTAATCTAAAGCAATCAACGTCAACGGATCGCGCACTTGACATCAGCAACATTAGTTCTCGCATTATAACAGCCACAACTACGATATCATCCGGGCGTCGCGTATAAAAATAACAATCGTGTGTTTTCTCTCTCGATCAGTGCGCCACACTCCCACAACTCTACTGGGAGTATTTATAATAATCAAAACAGTGCGTAAATTAATCACACTGTGTGTGCGTGTATAAGTGTGAGATACTTTTTTGTGCCAAAAAGTGTGTGTGTGTGTGTACCTGCAAAGTCCAAAACTCAATTTGGTGAGTTTGGCTCTTCAATTTAATTAATCGCCGGATCTGGGTCCTCGAGAACCCTCTAAGGACCAGAGATTTGAACCTCTTAGACCTTAGCTCCCAGAAAGCGGCAAACGAAATTATTGCTGATTAGATCGAATCACACAGTGGTCTAATGAGAAAATTCCACAGATTTCGTGGTAAAAATATACCGCCGTGTGTTTCTGTGTGATTGTTTGATCAATTTAGGTAATTGATGATTGACATCCGCGCGCATGGATCAGACGCGTGACGCACACATTTCACGCTCGGATAACCTAGAAATTAAGAACAATAGTCGAGATGGTGGTGTATTAAATTGCCATGTCAACATCAATTAAGACCAGAATGCAGAAATCGCAATCGAATAAATTATTACAACTGGTTCATTTAATTCGAAGGTGTAGATGTAATTTATTCGGAACATTTCATCGTCCGAATCCTTCCGTTTAGTTTTTTCTATGTCAAGGACACCACTACATCATCACCACACCACGCCGCTACACCGCAACATTGGCCAACAGATTACCATTATTGGATTATATAACCGTTCACGACACGAGGTGCACGGCTCTATAACTCGTAACGCTAACCCAGTCATAAAACACAACAATTATCTACACGTCTACATCTACGTTTACATGCGCGCAAAGAAATACTTTTCAAGTCAAGTTATTGTTTTGCGCATTTTGAGATGCAAGCAGGCAAAATTTCTATATTGTGGTGTTGGGCATGTGGTGATGTGCATTGCACGGTGTTCATTGCCGGGCTATTAATAGCGTTTAATATAGTGGAACCTATTCAATTCAATCGGCCGCTCGTGCCGTCCATTTTGCACCAGCAACGCACAAAACACAGCGCGCGCGCCTGTGTTCACTCATTTAAATACAAGCGCGCGCCTGCAAGTTTCGATTTGGTATTGATCAATCCAATCAACTAGTTTTCAACTATTGAGTCTTGAACATCTCGAGCGATAGTTATTCGTATAATTACATTTGACGGCCGGCGAAACGCACTCGGTGTTAATATTGTTGACAACTTGACAAGTTTGTCTCAAATATAATTAATAGACATGGGGCCGGATGTGTTGACATCCAGCTGACATACGTGATGGTCTCCTGTGTGTGAGAGTGCATGTGACGTATCGCATGCATAAATTGCATTCGGCGTTGTTTACGTACGCCGTAGGGAAACCATGAGAAACAATGAGGGCAAAAGTGGACGTCCGCTGCTGCATCATTGTTTCAGCCAATTAGTGAGACGTTGCTCGAGTGGACGCACGCATTGTGCGCTCGATTGTCTCGAGAAAGAGAATGCACTTTTAGAAGTGAAAAAATTCATTGCGACGTAAAACATTGTTTTGGCAAAGGGAACTTTCTGGCGCAACATTTTACTTTTATGCATTTTAAAACATGTTTTTATGAGGAACTTTAAACTTTATTATCTACTAATCTGTCCAAGTTTCACTAAAATCAACTTTCACCTCATATTTCACACTCTTTAAGTTATATTTTAGCAACAAAACTTTACCAGAATACTCGATAGGTTATTCTAAAGATTTCCAGAAAATGTCACCACAATTGGTTCAGCCGTTTTGCACTCAATGAATAACATACATAGGGGAAGGTAGCATAATTTGGACCAGCGCCTAAGTTGGACCACCACGATATCCGCGGACTGTTGAAGTTTATGCAAAAATTGACTGGCCCCTTGTTTTACTCGTATTTATAAACAATTAATGCAACTATTTGGGTTAAAACTTGCCGCGTGCTTTCGTCGTGACAACAACTTCGTGTATCATTGATTATCAAATCTATTATAACGACGTAAGTGCAAGAGCTGTCAAGCCGTTAAAACGTTAGTTTTACCGATTATTATTTTATCATCAGAAAGCTTCTTTATTTATCTATAATTTATAGTATTAATTTTGAGAGGTTATGTTATATTAAGATTGCTGTTGATCATTACATATAAATTCTTCAAGTTGCCCAAGTTGGACCGAAGACAGGCACCGGGGTTTTAACAGGGAAAACGTATATCATTTTTTCGACCTCCTAGAAAAGCTTGTGGACGAGCACAAATCTTCGAAATGATCCACTGTATGAAATGCCGCACTTTGATTTATACAAAATGTGCTTGTGTTACTGCTAAAACTAAAATTTACTATTGTGTCAATTGCCGTTAAAAAAGCATGGTCCAATTTAGGAAACCGCGCGGTCCAATTTAGGAAACCGGTTTCTTAATTTGGACCAAAACAACAATTTTTTTAAATTGAAATTTGAGGGGTATAAATATAAATTTTACTTAAACCAAAAATATCATTTTGTGGGTAAGCCTTGTGAGTTACTTTTCCGCTACTTAATTTTTATTGACAGTTTATATGTGGCTCTATAAATCAAAAAATATAAAAATGGTCCAAATATGGCTACTTTCCCCTACATTTATTTATATATGCATTTTTAATGTATCTTAGTACAACAAATTCATAATGAAACGTAAACGAACAAATATAATAAACATTTCCCGAAGTGGCAGTAATGAATAAAACAGTCTAGTTTATATACACAAGTGCTTACCTATATCTCTAAGTCCTTGTCATTTATGTAAAATGTTGAATTTAAAATGTAAAAATTCCGAATGCAAAATGTGAATGCGTACAATTGCAAAATGCGAGAGTAAATATAAAGGAAGCGCCCGCAGTGCGCGCGCTTAGCATGCTCAAAACGTTAAAATGTTATTTTAAAAGACTTTCGAGAGGGTTGCGTTGCTCAGCTGTGCTCGCTATCCATCAGATCCACTCATCCTCAATTCTTCGCATCAGGCGCAGAGCAGCAACCGAGGCTCGCTGTTGCCACATCCACCAAAATGCATATGCAAATCGTGGAATAATATTGCGCGGACAGTCTGTTCCGACTGTCTAAAGTCGCCGAGACCTGGAATCCAACAATTCAGGGCTTCCCTCACGCCGCACACCAACCTCGTAAACATTACCATAATGCTCAATTCTTTCAACGTTTTCTCGCTTTCATCGCTGGAAAAACGTTAAAATGTTATTTAAATGCATTTCTTACTTATGGCAGCCGTGGAAAATTAAATTTCTAGACGAAATATATTGCATTTGTAGTTGTTTCTCAAGTGTGTGTTTTATTTTGTGACTTTTTATTGCGTCAATATTTTACTTGCGTCGAATGTGGAATGGTTCCGTGTGCGCACAACAATAATCGGTAATCGGTAATAAAATGTTTATTTTTAGTGCTGAGCGCGCCAACAGTGCGAAAATAATTAAACTATGTGTTCCGATGTTCATTGCCGCACATTCGATGCGAATAATAAATAATAAACATTCTCGGAAATTTTTTTTACGTAAAAACATTTCAATAATTTTAATGAACACAGTGACAAACGTCTACTTTAAAATAAACATTTTAAAATTATTATTTGTAACGGTTTTAGAATAGATTTTCACTACAATAAAAACTTTGATACTTATTCGATTACGGAGTAGAAAAGAAATAAGTTAAAAAAATAAAAACAGGTACAAGATATAAATACCTAATAAGTAACTTGTTTGTTACTTAACAAAACTTGCAAACTTGCGACGGCGACGTCGTGGGAAGCGTTTTAATAAATTCGCTCAAAATTCAAAATTTCCTCAAAACAATGACTTGTTAAACATTCGGTATTCCCTTCAAAGTTTCGCAAAACTTTCAGACTTTTAGCGCGCTTTGTGTCCTTTCCAGTGTCTTGTTCTCGACGGCGCATTCAAAACATTGCCAATTTAATACATAAGCATATACATACCAACAACAGCTACTAAGTGCGGAGTTTGCGCGCAACAAAATGAATATTAAAACAAAGCGTGCGGGTGTAATTCTACTTGCGCGCGCTGTGCGAGCTGTTGACGTCTCGGACGCGCCAAAGCGGCACTAACCATTGTGCCGCGCAATTAATTAATGAAATAATTAATTAATTAATTGGTTGTCTTGTTGGTTACAAAGCGACGCACGTTTCGCAAACTTTGCGCAAACTTTTCGAATGTTTAAGTTTCGAATTAACGCGCGCGACGTCTATTCGTCATAAATTTGCATCTTACACGAAGAGTATAAATATAGACAAGTAAGCAAAAGGGGCTAAACACTCAGCTGTTATTAATAAATAAAATTTGAATTTTTACGTTCAGTATATTTTTTTACTTAATGAAGATTTATGAAAGGCGTCTTGTGGTGATTTTTTTGGCAGAAAGTTTGGCGAATGTCGCGCGCGGTATAAAAATACAAATGCCAAACACACGAAACTCATTTCGTGCACAAAACGCTCAAAACGACGAAATTAAACCATGAATATTTTTAGAAGCTTTACAAAACAACAACATCCTTTAAGATAATTAGAATCGTTTTCTGATGTTGTGGTCCATTAATATAAAATGTAAAAAATCATATTTTTAGATAAATATTACGTGCTGTGTTTATTTTACCTGAATGAGAAGAGCAACAAAAAAAAGCTCGTTCACTGTAAAATGTTAAGCCCACAAAGCACAAAATAGCAGCGAGAGGAAATACGAAACACAAAACGCAATTAAATGCTGAAATAATGAAATCACTATTTATGTTCCGGGCGTAGTCTCTCGTGTTTACATGCAAGTGACGGAAATGTGCGCGCCGTTCCACAAGTAAAACATTACAAACCGTGTAATTTCACATAATTCGAATCATTTCGGCGAAGCGCACGAGCATGTTTCACTAACATTCGCGACTAATACGATAGAAAATTAACTTTTTGCATGAATTTTGCATACAAATTGACATTTTTACTTCATATTAACTTCAAGGCAACCAATTTTGCTCATTCTACTCATGGAGAATTTTACTTTTAGTCACAAAATATCAATAGAAATAGCAATAAAAGGCGAATGAATAGTTTGTATATTTATATATGAGATTTAACATCAAACTCTTGATACCAGTTTGAAAGTTCAAGTAACCATTGTGAACAAAATAAAAAAAAGTTTCTAGTTTAATATTTAAATATATCAAGAAATGAGGAATAAAATATTGTTATCATAAAAATGTCGTTAATAAAATGTGCATTTACTTGGAAAATTTGTGATTTAAAGCAAATTTCGAATTAAAATAAATGAATAAGTGAACAGACCGTCGTTATATTGTTTGCTTTCTGAAATAAAACAAAGAAAATGAAAATTTAATCCAAATGATTAAATAAATTACTTAAATGTTGTTCGATGCAAAATAAATGAAGCAAATGCAAAAACTCAATAACAAAATAAAGCATCCCATTAGCATTAACAAAACCTGCTATGTAATAACATATTAATGAAACACTAATTAGAGGTTTTAATTAAGTCATTATATTATTATAAATAATTGCCAACGGGCATGTTCAGTTCGGCGGTGCGCCATTCATTAATTGTATGCAGGCGAGTTTCGCGCATGCAAACAAACGCGATGATTTGTTGATAAAGCAATTGCTTGTCGCACGTATTATTTATAATTCAGCGTATGTGTTCGCCATTTACACGCGCACTTCTCCGCGGCCACGATTAGCTACGTTCGGCAATTTGCAATGCAAAACTGTAAAATTCGAAAATTCGAATCGAATGTTAACATTGCGCGATAAGATTATGCACTTTATTTTAAATTAGAAATATTCAACTTGCACTCACACACACACACAAGTTCACACATCGCATACAAACGGAGGAAGTGAGGTGAGGTAAAGTCGAGTTTATTATGACCGAACACGTCAACTTGCATGTGAGCATTTCCAGTGTTTCCACTTGCAGTTGAAATTAGACGGAATACAATGCGAAATAAACGCGAGAAAATGTATGATAATTTTGTGTATAGCAAGCAACACACAATGCAGTACGAATAATATAGGCAATCATGTATACACTGCGGCAATTCCACGTTGCATACCGGGTTGCATACATTAAAACAAACTTATATCTCTATACGAACACAGAGAAAACGTAAAAAATACAAAAGAGAAAAAAGCGCCATACACTTCAGTTAACCAGCGATATCTAAGCGAGGATGTGCACAGTCGCGTTTAATCTCCTGGTTCAAGCTCAGTGCCGCCCAACGCACATTGTCACGTTTTTCTCGAGCTCGTTTCGCGTTTAACATTCATGTAATCAAGGTACCTAGTTTTTTGTCGCCGTATATTTTTGCCCCAGCTTCGTTCTTTTATTTGGTGCCCGAAACACATCAAAAAGCTTTTCACCGTGTGTAAACGTATAATTTATCTGTCGTATAGGCAACCAACTATGGAGTTAAAATGTGGTTATGTTGTTAGGTCATCTGTTTGTCCTTGAACAATTTATCGGAGGATTGTCTGGCTGCCGAATGTGCATGAATCATCTACGGCGGACAATGGCGGCGGATGGACGTGCTTATTACTCAAAGCATCGGCATTTGCATAACACATCGGGCTCGCATCGGCAAACGCATCATTTATATTTGATTACGATGTCGCAGGCACCAGTATTACATCCGCCGGTGACAGGCGCAGCGCGTAACGGCCAGCAATCTGCTTAGTATTTGCTCACCTCCCGTTCCCCCCCGGCCCCGCGCACAGCGTGCTTGAATTCCAATTTCAGTCTGCTTGTACTGGCAGACCAGATGGTGTTTCCTTCGTCGACGTCCGTTTGGGGAAATCCTGGCTGTGAGATGCTGCGTGGAGTGCTGGGAATTGTAAATTCGAACATGAGGAAGGAACCTACTCAGCGCTACTTCTTCAAGAAGCTTCCTAGACGTGTGTTACATCTAACAGGGTTCCGCGCTCTAATGTTAATGTTCTTGGCGTTTTCCTCAGGAGAAAGCTCGTTTTGGACATGGCGTGACAGGATGGAACCACCGCACCACCGGTGGTTTGGTCGATGCGGGAGGCAAAAGTAACGCAACGTTGCCGAAAGCTCAGCTTCTAATCATTGCATATTAATCATGCGCACTTTAAGTTATTCCCATTATTAATGGCCGTTAGTTTCCGGCGGAACGTGCGCGCGCGCGCGCGGAAATAATTTTCATTAATCTCACTCATTTATAATTAAACGGGCTTGATTAAACGATTGTCGCGTTTGTTTGAGCATGTCAAACGCAAATTTAAATTTTTCCCAACCAACCAACCAAATTAACAATCAATATATGGCAAATGTATAATTTAGTTGCGTAATTGCTTCCATTCATAATTATATTCATATTTATTTACTCGTATATATATATTGCACGTAATTCATAATTATTTCTACAAAGTTTCAGTCACAAGTTGAAAAAGTTCTTCATTTGTTTGCGCTTACATCCACACAAAACATAACATATGCAGAGCGTTATTTGCCGAGAGTTGTATAACCATGCTTGCGAGTTTGGTTAGGATTAACCTCAAACGTAGCGCGCATACGAAGGCAGAAAATAAATGGAATTACTTACTCTGAACTAAAAGTCAAAACTCAAAGCAACGCACAACTTCAAATAAAATACGAACGCGAGGAGTTTACCTACATGTGAATTTTAATTAGGATTTAATTCCAAGTTGTGTGTTTAAATGCGATAAATTCGTTGGAAATTATTAAACTGGCACAAAATGGCGGCTTTTGTCGTTGTGCGGACAAAATGGCGCGTTCGAGTTATGGCCGCTGGTCGGATTAGTTTTTGGTAGCGTTTTAACACGGTCACGTTTCAATAATTTAGAATGCAATTAAACGTATTTCGCACGCGCGTAAATTCAACGCAAATGCGGATATTTATTTTGGCGCGCGCGATGACAGCCATTCTATCCCGCGTCGCATTATAATAAAATACGGATTACCTCAAAAAAAATTCCACAAACAACAAGCAACTGCAGCTGAAATTGCTACTTTGCGATTTGGCATGCAAAAAGTTATAATTTTACGCACTAATCAACAAAATTTATAAAAAGTTTGATTTATAAAAGAAATCCTTTTAACCCTGATGCAAAATCTTTGAAATTTATTACACCACGTGTCTAAAATGCATATTTTACGTACTGAATACACAAAACAGTATTTTATGCACATATAGAAGTTTATACAGGTTATAAATATAGCCGACCATGGCGACGATCTAGTAGTTCGTCGCGAACGTGGAAATATGCGGGGCCGGCCGACCGGGGAGCGCTTTAGGAAGCCATTATACTATTAATAAAGTTATAAGATCACATATCATCAGCGCTCGTTATGCAATGAATATGGGACAAGCCCGCAAAATGACCAACAACTGCACGCTCAAGCACGTTACCCACTCCGAAGCAATCTCATAAATAATGTCATAACGTGCAAAATTTTATATTAGTAGCGAATAATTCCATTTATTTTTCGGTATATTTTTATATTCCGCTTTCATCTCCTCTGACCTCGTTAGCAATATATATAGATATTCTTTTTGCGCTGCTTGTCGAGTGTTTTCAGTGTCGATGTAAATTTAATTTCTGTAGACCTGCGGCGGTATCAACATTAACGAAAGGAAAAACGCGTTTTATTTCGGTTTCGGCGATGTTTAATTGATCCCGACGGGGGGTGTGCGCCCGCATATATCCCGTGTGCCTGGCGCAAGAACAAAGGAATAAACAGCGGCTGCTTTTGACCGTCGCGCCTGGACCGGAATGCGAAAGCAATGCTGCAAAAGGCATGATGTGATGTGCGTAAAGGTGACGGGCGTAAAAATGAGAGTTACGAGTTATAGCGACAGAGAGTGAAAAGGACGAAAAAGACAAAAAAGAAGAATAAAACACGCCAAGCATGCCTCCGGGGACAATTTAATAAACGACACATTTTATTACGAATCGCGTGGGAGGGCAGAGAAAAAAAAGAAATACATTTTTCAGGAATCATAAAGGCGCTGATCAATTAACGCTTCTGTGGTCCGATGATGTTAAACAACTCTTGAGAGTCCTTGAACATCAATTAAAGTTTGAGTTAAGAATAATTGAACTTGTTTTGCCTACGCCAAGTTATAATTTACTTATTTAAGTCGTTGTCGCCGGTGCGGAGCATTTCAAATTACTGACACTTTATGTCACATTAACATAATGACGGCGTGAAGTGAGCATGGCTCCTGCACTTTGCCCACGAGCATTATTAAATTAATTTGTTAATTAATGGTGTGCAAAAAGAGCACATGTTACTTAATAACTGCTATTAAACATTTCGTGTGTAGGCAACTTGTATTACACGTTTATATTTCATGTACATTGAGTTGCCTATAGCAAATAAAACTCAAACTATCCGAGTTAATAATTTTTGGTTTCTTTTTGTTGCAGAACTAGACTGAATACGCAAACGTACTCAAATCTTCAATAAAAGGTAAACTAATCGAGTACCTATCTAGTTAAAATTTAACATTTGATTTCATCAGTGAGCAATTTCCGTCTGATGCGACCGCAAATCTATTATTGAACTATCGGTTGCCAAATTGAACCGCATCGTGATTAGGAAAATCGATAAATTTGCAAAATCTGCTCGGCTGGTATTTGGAGCAATCAATCGGCGCCCATTAATTTGCACAAAATGAATAGTCGCGCAGTATCCAGCAGATCATCAAAATTGCGCATTATTAACAAGGGTATAATCCGCTTTAAAAGTGATTCATTAAATTACTAATGTGTACCTGAATTACGAGCGGAAATATAAATAGCATTGGCATAGCATTTTTGCCATCACGCTGATACATTATGACGCATATATTAATTTTCGGTTTTTATTTCCCGAATCATATTGAAGCGTGCGGAATTAAAACTACACGGTAATTACACGTTTTCGCAATGCGGTTGCGCGCTCGTCGAGCACGAGCATAATTAAAACTCGCACGCTGACTCGGACTCGCCCCGGCAATCAAGAGTGGCGTATGTGTGTGAGTTGTTGTTGTTGTATTTATTCGAGTGCAATAAAAAACGGAAGGCGGAACGCCGCGGATCGTGCGAACGCATAACGCTCATTGACGATGGTAATTCGCTGATAATGAAAGAAGCATCGCCGGCAATCCGCTACTGCCGGCCTTGGCGCACGAAAACAACGCGTTACCGCACACACACACATCACATGTCGACAACATAACCACGCGACAACAACTATGCGAAACATTTCCGAACAGGTATGTGTATTAAAACGTGAAATTGAAAATTGATAGCGTCGTTTTTTTGTTGTTGTTTTAAACATTGGTTTATAATTCATGAATGAATAAATGCGTATTTTGCAAGTTGTGGATTTATGGTGCTGATTTGATGTATGCAATCTCGGCACTGGGTTGGTTAGTGCTTATAAATGTGGTGTATTTTGACAGAAGACAGCAGAATGGCATGTTTGATGTTGACTTCAAACACGGCGCTAGCTAACGACGCAGTCGAGCTTGGTCGAGTTCGATTAAACGTCTTCGTGTCAATATTACACGGCTTTCAGGAATGGATATTCCATTGAGTGCATTCGTATTCTGAACAAACAAGTCTGCTAACTAAGCTTCTAAAACGGATAGTTTCTGCTCATCTCTAGTTATTAGTTAGTATAAACTTTGGAAATAGTAAATAAATTTCAAAACTCATTATAATTTAGGAACTATAACAACACAATTCATCCTAATTTGATAAATGCGAAATTCAAAGTTTAATTGTTTATTTCTGATACTTTCAAGTAAAAACCACTCAACAATCTAATATAATATTGAATCGCAAAATATGTTGGTAAACGCATAACTCAACAACGTCTAGACCAATTTGGCCAATTCTTTTTTTTAAATGTTCGTTAAAGTCCAATGATGGTTTTTACGGCGAGGAAAATTCGAATAATTGCCGGGAAAACCTTAAAGACAGCCCTTTTCTAAAGGATAAAAGTTGGCATAGAGATTCAATCATAGTTACAGTTAAATAGTTGAAACCGAGATGGCGAGCTGAAGTGCTTTATTAGCAATTCTTTATATAATTAATTTCTTTAAAATAAAATTGCAAATCTTATTGATAGAATTGACAAGAGAGTAAAATGAATTACATTTTTATTAAACACTACCGGGCCGAAGTCGCGGGGAAAAGCTAGATTTTTTTTTAAATTTTGTGATTGTGATAATTTTGAAGGAAAACCTAATAGACTTGCTTTTTTCACAAAAAAAAAACTTTCGGGTGTGAAATAAGGGATGAAAGTTAATATGAAGATCAAATCACAGTTATAGTTACATAAATTAAACCAAGATGGCGACAAAACAAGAAAAATCCAAAATAAATCAAAATTAATTGATTTAAAAATAAAACAAACTAAATTTTCACTATACAATGGCCCTTTCCAGCACTATTTCCTTGTAATTAAGAAAATTACTAAAAATTAACTCAACATTACTGCACGCAATAATTAAACTGGATGGTTTGGTTAGGGGTTGTTAAAGAGTGGCTGCAGATGTAATGCCATGTCGACCATTTATCTCCGGGCACCACGATACCCGTCTCTTTGTGATGATGATCGGCGAGCGCTTGTTTGCGTTTTTGACGATGGTGGGAGCCGCGCGCGTGCGGCGTGCTAGTCCATTGCCGCTCTAATTAATTGCTTCGCTTAATTACGCGACGAAACGCGAAGAAAAACGCCCAAAGACGTACGGAAATGCGAAAATAAACAGACTCTAAATCATCGCCGAAATTGTGTTATCAACACCAACCGAACAAAATATACAATACAATGGCATATTCATTAAGCATGCAAAACACTAAAATTAAACGAGTGCGTACTCACCCAATTCGTGGTTGGTCAGGATAATTTATTTATTTAACGCACATAATTAAAGAAAGCATGCGGTTGCTCATGTATTTAATATCAAATTAATTCAAATAAAACATAATTTAATTAAATAAATTCATCGACGTAGATGTTTAGTCATGCGCAGTGTAGACTTTGTTTTTTTGATGGTGTGGGCGTAATTTGAGCTTTGAGTTACAAAATTATTAGGGTCATTGGCGTTTGGCGCAGATTGCGCAGTCGGCCGGCTGCAAACTGCAGCGGCGGTGGGTGGCGCACGCCTCGAATAAAAGTGAGACATTAAATTGATATATCGCGTTAATTCACAACTATTACTGCACCCTTTTCAGTAATCGCTGCGCACGGCACGATTACGATCAAAACGCCGCATTATCCCCGAGCACGAAAGTCGCTACAACATTTACGAACAAATTTGTTTTATTTCCGGCAAAAAAGAGAAACAAAAAAGTGCACAACTTCACTACCAACGCAATAAATCCAACTTTTTAAATATTTAATACGCCGAGGGAAAAACATCTGTTACCTGTAAAGGTCATCAAAGTTATGACGACAGGAAAAGAGGAAATCATCCCCTTGGAAGATAATATATTATATGAGAAAGTGGGCGGAAATATATATAAATCACATTACTTACAACCATCGACCGCGGGGGTAAGTTTGGGGCAAACGTGGGCGTAATGGAAAATTCAGGTACTTAATTTAATCCTTTCGCGGCGAGGAATATATTCGCTGTCATACATTATTCATGTGAGAGGGGACCTTTGCGTAGCGCCCGTGGAAATCGGTTGATAATGATAGCCGAGGTCGAAATGAGTGAATAAATAAATGAACGAAAGAGGATATATCAACGACGACTATCGAGGATAGGCCCCAAAATGACAGCGCATATCGATTCGTTATTGTAGTTGGTCACAAAGCCTCAAATTTATTTCGCACAGCTCCCGCCATTTTTATAACCTACATAACCTACAAAAATATTACCCATATTATGTAGGATTAGACCATTAGGCGCGGCATCAACATCGCATAAATCAGTTTAATGCGCGCGAAATCACCGCCGGCCCCACACGTTTGATTTGATCGAGTTTCGTCTGCGATTGTTTCAAATTTAAATCGATCGCGCGCACGCCGTAAATAGATGACGCGATGTCAGAGCTTTTAATGAGGCAACTCGTAATAAGCGACGGCGCGTGCTACGCGCGCACAGCTTTTGTTTACAATGGCGAATTTATATTTAGACACCGCCGCACACATCTCTCTTTCTATTTATTGTAGGTCAACTCGCTGCGGCTCGTCTTTCACAATGCGCGACCGTAACCGCGATCGCGAATTCGCAAGTGTGACACCGAGCGCACACGTGGATTCGGGAGTCAAAACTCATAATGCCACCGTAAATGCAGAGAAAATAGACACGTGCATGTACCTTGTTACTATTTAAGCTGCTTTGCATCTGCTAAATCTTCTTCACAGGGAGGACAACTTTACATTTCACTGAATTTAGTCAACAACAGCGTTTCCTTAGATGACAAGCATAAAATAAGTATTGTAAAATGACAAATAACCGCTGCGCAGGCGCATTACGAAGAATTGCAAGAATTTTGCGCCGCCAGCGCCATCTACTCAAATATAAGACATGAAGAGTGAAACACACTCGCGTGTCTCTAGAATTACATAAATGCAACACAAAATACACCCCCGCATAACCTGCGGTGGTAAAATCTACTTAACCATGTTTGAAAGCAGGTTTGAGGTAGTACACGGAATTCGATATTTACTAGATAGGTAGATATAATATTCAGATGCGGTGATGCAAACTATCCAAACCGCAGGAACCGAAATGCATGAGCTTAATGGAGATGTCTTCGGTCTTGGTGCCCTCTGACCCCAATCCGTAGCTGAGGAATCCAATTCCGGTGCGACGCTCAGTAACTAATTAATTTGGCCCCGTATTGTCCCCTTGATAACTCGCATTGTGAATCGCAGACAGATCAAATCTTATTTGTTATCGAAAACTATTTGTACTAATTCACAGGCGTGATGCTGGCGTTGTTGTCGACGGTTCAATTTCGAAATAAATAAAAAAGCAGCAACGAACCACTTGAGTCACTTGACCTCATCGATTCTACTTAGTTTAAAAACGACCGAATGTCAATTATAGAAAATTCTACATTATTAAGATGAATTGATCGGCATTTCGAGTGTGTCGTCGCGGGTCACACTCTGACGTTGATATCTTCCAACGCGGCGAATTAACAATTAATAATTAATCACACAAATGGGTTAAAAATAGATAATGGCACAACACGTCCGCTATTTTTATCAAGGATTATTTCGGCTTGAAATAAAATCAACCGGCTCACAATAAATAAATAAATAAAAATGAAACATTTTGTTGTACATTGAAATTTATGTAATTCAAATCTATAATATAAAAAAAATCGCCAAATCTGTTGGTAAGCGCATAACTCAATATCGCCTAGACCCATTTGGCCAATTTTTTTAATGTTCGTTAAAGTCTAATGATGGTTTTTACACCGAGAAAACTTCGAATAATTGCCGGGAAAACCCTAAAAACAGCCCTTTTCTATGGTATAAAAGTGGGCATTGAGATTCAATCATAGTTATATGTAGTTAAATAGTTGAATACGAGATGTCGCGCTGAAGTGCTTTATTAGCAATTCTTTATGTAATTAATTTCTTTAAAATAAAATTGCGAATCTTATTAATAGAATTGACACATACTATGTCTAGAACAAGTGAGTAAACACGAATTACATTTTTATTAAACACTACCGGGACAGAGTCGCGGACAAAAGCTAGTATTATTATAAATGCGAATTTGTGTGTTTGTGACGCTTTCACACAAAAACCCATGAAGCAATTTTTATAAAATTTCGTATAAAGATATTTATGACTAAAGAAAAGCAAATAGACTATTTCTTGTCGTAAAAATAAGGGTGTAAAATAAGAGATGAAAGTTGGTATTGAATTTCAATCATAGTTATAGCTATATAATTCAAACCCAAATAACTCTAAAGTTTAATATTAGCATTTTAAAGTTTTTAAACTAAATTTTTTTAAAGTCTACACAAATGAAGCCAGTGGGCAAAAGCCATCAAATAAAAATAATTTAAACATGTAATACACTTTTTTTCTCTCACTGACTTAAACATACTATATACTATTAATAACCAAGCGCGTAATTAACCCAAGTTGAATTAATTCGACTTTCAGACAAACAACAATATCCAACGTGACGCAAGTCCCGCGACGACGTCGGCCCGCATAAAACGAAACAATTAAATGTTATAGTCGTAAAGTGTGCGCCAAGTGCACTTGCGCTTCCGAGAACAAACGCTTTCAATAACAAACCAATCAGTATATCAATTTCTTAAACCACAATTACACTCGATCCGACGACGCATCCGCATCAACACAACATAATCACAAAAAACAACTGATTCATACTTTGGTATTAATCATGTGAAAATTTGTTTATAATCATTTTATTGTACATGTGTGTAATTTATGTAACTAGTAATTTCCGGTATGAGTTTATATATATATTTTTTTCAATTCATTAATTGTTGTGAAGGTTGCCTGGCATTGCACTGCGCTCTGTGTTGTGTCTTAGAATTTTTACAATAAATTACGCACGACGTTTGGCATGAATTCGCGATTAACCCAGAAGCAGCACTTGAGATGTGCGCGGCGGCACGTATTTGCATTGTGTGCTCGAAATTCGTCTGTTTGGGCATTCTATGCGCACGCCGCACGCAATAAATCTTCCTTCAACTCACCCCCGAACAACCCAAAAACCAGCCCCACCTTCACGAAACAACTTGTATTACTCATCCCATCCTTTTAAGTGTAAGGTATAGGTTAGAGTTGGAGTTGAAGTTGCGAAAACCACTAGTGACTTTTTGGACTTTTTTCTTCTTCTAGATCGCTGATATTCTGTTCGGTGCAAAGTTTGTCGTCGTTTTTTCTATTAGGCCGCTGCGCGCTGATAAAAACTTGCGGCCGAAAGTCGCCAGAAAGAAAATATTTCTTGCCACCGTAAGCGAGTTTGCGAACTTGCGCGCGTTTTATCATTAATCAAAATCTGAGCGATGACCTGATAACTAATTTTAACTTTTTAACTCGCCGACAATATTTCAAAAAACAAACAAAAAATTTATTTTATCTGTGTCAACACATTTGAGTTACGGTATAAGCATCGAACGCTGAATTTAAATTTTTTCTCGGAATTTAAATCGTTTTGGCAGGTATTGTTTTTGTTATTTCAGTTTACGTCGTCCATTTGTTTGTTTGTTTACACGACCGAACATACAAATTTCAATTCGTATTTGCTTCGGTGTTTGTTCGGCGTTTGTGTGTGAGAATTTACGCAAATGTTGAATGTCGACCTCTCTCACAGCGTGCACGCGCCGCCAGAAACAGCTTTACTTATTCATGCCGGATCTTGAATGAGGAGTCGCGTTATTAATTTACTGCGGTACTATATCGATCTCCTGTGTGTGGATGTCTTGGATCGTCACAACTTTTCCATGTTTACTACTTTCAAGATGAAATACACAAGTTCACAAACGAATTTAACCTCGAAATGTATACGTACGCGGTTGAGAATAGAATCTGTACGACTGGTTGCCTGAAAATAAAACGACGCGCAATTTTATTCTCTATTCTGCGAATTTATTTTGGCTTGCGGAAGAAAGCGGATTTAAAATCCATTATCAAAGAATAGAAATACGTAAAATGTCTATTTCTGGCCGGTTGAGCTTGCGCGAGGACTAGAGTTATGGATAATGCGTTCGTACTTTAAGGGATGGCCATCGCTCCGACCCCGACGTTTGAGCATTTCAACATTTCAGCGTTTCAGCATTTCATGTGGCTGCAAAAGGGGTTTTGCGCATTTGAGCGATTTTAATATCGTGCGCCGCTTTATTTGCTCGTGAGATTTGACCGTCAAAACATTTTAAAATCGCTAAATATTAATTTTTATTTATCACCGCCCTAAAAAATATTATATTAAAAACCTCATTTACATCTTAACGCACACATAAGATACACTTTCATTAAACTTTCAAACCAACTCACATTGTTTGCAATTAGCAAACATAATTTAAAACGAGCGCAACAATGACTTTGCACCCGAAATATTTACACAACGTGCAAGCACACGAGTATGCAAGAATGTAAATACCAAAAGCTATTACCATCTCAGAGTACTTACAAACAAGCAAAAAAACAATTTTCAACTCTGGAAAATATTTCCACACTAAACAAAAATTAAAAGTGACATCTTAAACGTGTGCGGGTACATAAAACATAACACGTTACTTCTTGTTAACCTCATTACGCCTGTTATGCCCGTTATCCTGTTTATGACCGATTTTTTTTTGCTATCTATATATTTTTTATCATGTTGAGTATTCCAAGCGTGTCTCCGGCGGTGCACAAGCGGCGAACACGCACGTCGGCTTCACCTGCCGCCGCAGGAACATAAATTCATTACGAAGCGCATTAAATTTTATACACTGGATGCCGCACGCGGCGCGCAAAAACAAGCTTCTGGAGGCGTCTTGCCGGAACGAACACAAATGAACATAAACGTTTGTGATCTTTAATGGATGCTACAGAATTCCAGCAGGCGCAGGGTGCGTAAAATTTCTGTTGACTATAAGACGTTTAGTTTTATATCTAAATCATTTCATTTTATTTTCCATGCGTAGATTTTAATATAAAATAACCTAACTTTTTGATTCTTGCTTGATTTTAATGTAAACAAAGGAGAAATGCATTTAACTCCATCTAAGTTTGAATTATTTAACAATAACTACGATTGAATCCGCATATAAACTTTCATCCCTTATTTGTCTCCTTTATATTTAAATTTTTGGGACAAAAAGTAGCCTATTTTCTTTTCTTTGAACAAAATGAATTCAATACTAAATTTAATAAAAATTCGTTCAGTAGTTTTCCCATGAAAGAGTAACAAACAAAGTAATAAACTTTAACTCGCGTTTAAAATATTTCAAAGAATGAAAACACGTTAAATATCTAAATATGTTTATAAAACACAAGAATTCCAGCCTCAACCTTGAATGCAACAATGCGCAAGTCGTGAATAATTGTGATGGTTACTGATTAATTACTGTTTTCATAGCGCAACTCATTATTTTGACATTTTTGCAATGTTCAACAATTCTCGACATTGTCAATAATATTTCATTATCTACTCGTTGAACAAACGGAATTCGTTATTTAATATTTCAATGTTTGAAACCAACTCAAATCCGCACAGAGAGATCAAGTGATTAAAGTGATTTGCAACGGCCAAATATTAATTTAACAGATATGATATTGATGTCCATTCGAAATTACAAAATGATTATACCCATATATTAATGGATGTGTCTATATTAATCTTTGAACACATTTTAATTAACTAATTAATTTTCGGTCGCTTAAATATTTGTTTTCTTTCGATTAATAATTTCAGCCCGCATGATTTAATTTAATTATTGCAAAGTTTTGGGTAAATATATTTTTGGCGCTTATGATATTTACTAATAAACTATCAACTCAAATAAAACTCCGATACGCAAAAGTTCAACTTATACCTGATGCAAACGGAAGCGGAATATGATTGATTAAACTTGAAATCATTCAGAATGAAATTGCGCTGAAAATTTTTGTTTAAAAAATAAATGTGCACCGAAACGCGTTGCAAACCTAATCATAGATCTTAATTAAAACTTTGATGAGGACACAATCCGTTAATACTCCATCCAGGCGGTAAGAGGTTTTCCTAACGCTGGGAAATTCTTTTTGGAGGTGTGCTCTGCCGGGCGCCAACTTCAATTAAAAAGTTATATTACGTTTCCTTCATTTCCACAATTTCCACATCTTAATCGATAGCTACCTACTGCTACTTGCACTTGAGACTTTAAGATCTCAATCAGGATGTTACAATAAAAACAAAAAGACAAATTTTTAAAAATCAACCCTCACATGGTGTAATACACAATAATATGATTGATATTACCGTTATTGGTAACGTTTTATAATGCCATGCGAATTTATTACCGAACAGGACGCATTTGACGCATTTTCCAAATTTCCCTCTGCGGGTGTGGGCCGCAGTCTAAACATGTTTGCATAATATAAATGTTAAACACATCTTTGTGGGGATGTGTATCGTTTGCGGCTACATCCATTTCGTCGTTTTGCGCCAAGGCTGATGATGCCGTGTTTGTTTAACATCAAATTTAATGTAATAACATACAATACATTAAATATGCACATACTTAAGTTTACCTCTATACGCGGTATAGAAGTGTATTACACGCATAAACGGCTTGTTTACACTGCTTGTACCTATGAATTGATTATTTCATGGATATTAGGCACATAAATGTTGAAATTTTTGTTATTTGCATTGGATTGGGATATTTTGTGAGATTTGTTGATAGTGGTGTGGATGGTGGCGAGTCATGAGGTCATGGGAACAACATTAGAATATCGGATGGAAATGCATGCGCACGTTTTCGTTTGGAATGCAAATTTTCCTCGGTTGAGTCGGCGTTAACTCGGTTATGTTCTGTTTTTATCCACGGCGCACTCGTAAATATCATGGAAACAGCACGATGTTTCTGACAAAAACTCATAGTATAGAAATATTTGAGTGAATTATGTAAGAAAATGGATTTTGACAGCAGTTAGACACAAATTAAGTGCAGAGTCATGCAGAGTTAATTCCAAAACTATATATACAGCGTGAATGTGTTGCCTTGTGATGAAAATAACGTTTATTTCGAGACTCTTGATGAATTATTTATGCAATTTTAAAACAGCATTGTCTTTATCTTCTTATAAAAAGTGCTTGTCATGGTAACATTGAAGAAACGCATCATTTTCACGTGCTAAAAAGATAATAAAAAATATAGAAAGCAAACAATTTATAAAATAAATATATAAACACATGTTGCTTACCTCAGTTTACACATATCACTGCTTTAATCATTATTAAATCTATGAAATAGATTTACCCAGTAAAGCACATGTACACTTATGAGGTTATCATGAGGTAAATGTTTAATATTTGTTTGATTCTTACGATATTCGCGTTTGTGACTGCTTGTCCTTCATCTTAAACCATTCGAACCCAGTTTGTAGTCGTACCACAATGTTCAATAACATTTACATTACTTATTAATTATTTTTGTATTGAACAATTGCAATTACTGCACTAACCGCACAAACAGCAAAAATATCCGCCAATTGTGAACGCGTGACCTCGAAAACAATGCAGAAATTCAAATCTCCGCCACCAGCGCCCTCTACCAATTTGAAGACGAAATCCATTGTATAATTTGCGTGCGTATTTTTCGAAAGCAAGCAAGATTTTGTAGGATTTTGTCATCTAAGTGTACGTAATTAGTTTTGCTCTAATTAAGCCGTGTAGCTCTAATGATGCTGCGTAAAAAGCGTACCATAAATTTCTTTCCTTCGCAAGCAAACAAGAAAAGTCCAGCCCATTAAGCTGAAACAAAAACAACGCAGAAGAAATTCAAAGAAATAAATTAAAATAAAATTCAATACATTTATATTTATATATATATTGTTATTTCCCGGAACATACCAAATTAACACACTGAATAAATCCGACCTAAAAAAATATGTATTTCCAAGGAAATACTCGCTATTTTTCTCCTTGATGACCCGGATGAAACGTCTCGAAATAGGTCAAACACACGGAACCAGAGAATAGCCGAGGATATTCGAGAGACTCGCTTTTCTTCCACGCGCGTCTAATGCATTCTGCGGTGTAGAATGCGCGTGTTGCCTCCGGCAACTGCTTGATTTTTGTTTCGTTCTCCACGCGCATGTTTTTCACCTCACATCATTTTACACTGCAACGCTTACAAAAGCAAACTCTCACCGAACGGATATGAGTCATCCAACGCCATCTAGCGTGAAATAGCTTTCAACTAAACATCATATATTCAAATGAAGCAAATAGCAAGTAATAGTAATCAAGGGTATTAATTTCAATCGTAATTAACGAACGTAAATATTGAACATGCTTTAAATTCATCCGCGAAAATATCTGCTCGTCGAAGGTTCAAAGCAACGCACCAAATTGATGTTACAGGTGCGTTATCCAAAAACATGTCGGTGTGTTGGGTGTTTGTGAGTGTCGATCGTAGTTAGTTAAGTAGAATACCCCTAAGCGACGAGGTGAAAGCTCCAGCTCGCTTCTTCTGACACCTTTCGAAGGGGGTTTGCCGCGTTTGGATATCTTGCTCTCGCATCGCTTGAGCGCCGAGCTGAGCAGAGACTCCAAAGGGAGCGCAGTGAGCGTTTAATACTCCCTCTCGATTTCCATTAGATAACAAGATAAATTCGCCAGTTCTCACGTTGTAATCAACGAGATTATTATGTGCTGTGTGCTAATGAAACCAATAATTCTTATAGATTACTAGGAAGTATTTTAATTTTTTAATTTGACGCTAAAAATAGAAAAAATTAAAAATTTTGAAAAATTGATTTGATTTTTATTCATTTATTGAAATAGGGTTAAAAGCAGTAAAATAAGAAACAATTGATGGATGAAAATTTTATTAAAATTGATGAGTTTATGTTTTTTTTTTGTAAATAATTTAATTTTAAAGATTGTAAAATTGAAAAGAAAATTTTTTAATAAATTCTTAGTGAAAGTGTGTTTAAAGACAAACATTTAGAAGAAAAAAATATTCAAATTGGTAAATTTTTGACAAAGTTATTGGCAATTGAAAAATAAAAACAACAAAAATTTGGAAAAAAATTTTTCAAAAATTTTTATCTCAAAAACGAGTGCATAAAAAAATATTTAAAAATTATGGAGACATTTTGCAACTAATACTAAAACAATAAAAATTTATTTTAACGTAGATTACACAAATATGTAGTGAATAACTTGATTGTAACAATTGTAAGTTCACTGATGTGACGTTGAAGGATGCAAGTGGAAAAAAGCAAGCGGGCGCAGGTAATGCCGAATGCAAATTTGAATTGTAAATTTAATTGGACGCCGCCCAAACAACAGCCGCCCCTTTGCGGCGGGTCCGGCCGACAAAAGCCGCGCGCGACACGATTTATATCTCTCTACCTCCCGAGCGCGCTTATCTCGCATAATGAATTATAATCCTTGGCGTGATTATGTTGACACAAACAACTAGGTGTGCGAGAGGCGAATGAGAAATGGAAAGAGTGCCGGTGCGGAAAATACCTATGTCACCTATATCTGCGCTCTACCAAATTTTGCATTTCGCATTCCGCCGGCGTCAAATTCGAATGCAAACGGGTGGAAAATCCATTAGTTGGACAGAATTTTATTAAGAGGGTTGGCGACGGCTATACTTGCACGTGACGACATTAAAAACATAAAAATATGACATATAAATATTTGAGATAAAATAGGTGCAAATCTAGTTTGGAGAATTGACGGATTTCATCACACCGAGCTTTTGTGCGCGCATTTCTTGCGTTTTTTTGCGGGATGAAATAGAAATTCGCATATTAAATTTTCGACGCCGCTCACACCTCTCAAATCTAATTTTGTTTCAATCTTTTACGCTCGGTTCTTACCGAGCAGTGGAATCGTAAATAAATTTTTTGTTGAATATACAGAGAGTTAAAAAAATTATATAATAGTATATTAAGTAACAAGTGGCTAAACGATGGCATTACAAACGAGATTGTCAATCAATCGAGTGTTTAATAACATTTAGCCATGAGGTGCTTATGGTATTTTTTCTACTTCCACTCTAGTTCCACGTTGCGGTTTTTGTATTTCAACTTTTGTGTATTAAATCATCGTAATTTGCTCACACACTTATACAAACTGTATGGTTTTAAGTGCCTTGCCACGCGCCGGCCCATGTGACGCTTCGGTTCATATCGTGCCTGTATTGACGTGTTTGACTGACGTCGCATGACATTTCATACCGCCTTGTGCTACTCCGTAGGCAAATGCGCAGGCGTTTGCTCCGTCCCGTGCATAATGCAAGTATATAATGAATATTATGTACGGCTTGGCCGTCCGTATATTAGCTATCACTTTTTGTGACTAAAAACTGGCGCTTTATGGGTGGAAATAGAAAAATTTTATTGTAACTCAAGTAAATAAAACAATATCAAATTATTTTATTTAAAAACAATATTGATTTCATATTTGCATGTAAAATAAAAGTTCTATATTAATAAATGTATAAAATATTGTATTTATTGTTGGAGTAAAATACAATTTGTGAAAATTTAAATAAAAAGCGAGTTTAATACGCTCGTTCATGTTTGTCAATGGCAGTTAAGTTAATTTATTATCCCGCCGGTAGAGCGAATTGCCAAACTCGAACGTTTCAAAATGCGAATCATAATTAAAGTGGAAATTGACTAGCAGTCGAACATTTCGGTGTTTATATTGAAAAAAATATATAAAAATGTAAATAATCAAATGTCGAAATATCGAAATCACAGCGCAAATTATATTAATTATTTTTTGGAATTTCAATCATGTCCCTATCGACAGTTAATTTCGGGATGATTCACGTTTTTAATTGGGTATCAATTTAATTATGAATTATTAAATGGAAATTATAAAATTGCATTTCTGCATTTAGTTCATTATTAATTTATTAAATTTGGAACAAAATGTATGATCAATAATAATATATTGCAAATGAAATGTTCAAAATGACTTTTAGACACGTAAATTGGTCAAAATAATTTTTTAGTTTGATTCGTGGCAATTTTTTTTGTAAAATTGTAGATTTACGCATTAAAAAATTTGATGTTTTTGAAAAACAGATAAGTTTTATAAAGAAATTTTATAAATAACATGTCAATTTAATTATTCCCTTGTTGCTTGGGCAAATAATAAATAAATTTGTCAATAAGATTCTTAATTTTATTTTAAAACTAGCATTTGCCCGCGACTTCGTCCCGGTAGTGTTTAATAAAAATGTAATTAGTTTTTACTCTCTTGTTCAAGACATAGTATATGTCAATTCTATCAATAAGATTTGCAATTTTATTTTAAAGAAATTAATTATATAAAGATTTGCTAATAATGCACTTCAACACGCCATCCCGGATTCTACTATTTAACTATAACTATGATTGAATCTCAATGTCAACTTTTATCCTATAGAAAAAAATTTTCTTTACGGTTTTCCCGGCAATTATTTGAATTTTTCTCGCCCTAAAAACATTTTTGGACGTGAACGAACATTATAAAAAAAAGTGGTCAAATTGGTGTAGGCGTTGTTGAGTTATGCGCTTACCAACAGATTTTGCGATTATATTATAGCTTTGGAAAATTGTAAGTTTACGCATTGAAAAACGGTAAAAACTTGTTTTTTTCTTGGGAAAACCGATTAATTTTATGAAATTTTTTTTATTAAATAGCAAGTCGATATAATTATTCGCTTGTTTCTGGGGCAAATAGTGTAAATTTGTCAATAAGATTTTTAATTTGATTATAAAGTAATGAAATTTGCTACTAATGCACTTTATCGCCATCTAGATTTGAATTATATTACTATATATATATATATATATAATGTTCTTGGCTCCTATGTGGAGCATAGAGCCTCACTAAGCGCCCTCCAACGGACTCTGTTTCGGGCAACCGCCTTTGCTTCGTTCCAGCCCATATTTTGGTTTCGGAGCTCCTCTATTGTGGATCTTCGCCAGGTATTGGCCGGTCTACCAACCCTTCTCTTCCCCTGTGGGTTCCATTCTAGCGCATTTCTGGCGATATCTCCGGCGTCTCTTCTCAAGATGTGCCCAATCCACCCCCATTTTCTCTTGCGTATTTGATTTATAATGGGAGTTTCATCACATCGACGGTGCAACTCATCGTTGGAGATTGTCATTGGCCAGAATATGCGCAAGATCATTCTCAAGCACTTGTTTATGAAGGTTTGGAGTTTGTGTGTGCTTGAGCTCGTTGACCTCCATGTTTCGCATCCATATAAAGGGTGGATTTTACATTTGTGCGGAATATGCGCAGTTTTGTTCTTAGTGTATAGACGCTTGACTTCCATACTGTGCTCAGCATTCTGAAGGATTGCTGGGCTTTCTTTATTCTGTTGTTTATATCTGCGTCGGTCCCCCCTTTTATGTCAATTATACTTCCTAGATATAGGAATTCCTTGACCTCTTCTATTTCCGTATTATCTATTTGGAGTTTTAAGGTGTTGTTTGTATTTATACGCATTTCTTTTGTTTTGGCAATATTTATTCTTAGGCCAATTTTACTTGCCTCCCTTGCTAATGTTGTTAGCTGTCGGCTCACGCCTTCGAACGTATGTGACATCAGGCAGATGTCGTCGGCGTAATCCAGGTCGCTGAGGTGCGAGGTTAGTGTCCAGCGCAACCCATCCCTGTTCTGGTCTACCTTTGCTAGTATGTAGTCTAAGGCGATGTTAAATAGTAATGGGGATATGACACATCCT